ATAAAAGGATGTGTATAGAGATCAATCTTCAGAAGAGCTTGGGAGATATCGTGGATATGAGTGCCATTTGCTAGCGTTCATTTCGCACGAACTGCAGCGCTACGTAGTCACACTGAGACCAGGGGCTCATTTACTTTTGCTTGGTGTAGGGCATTTACGGTCTCGTGCTCGTGCTGAGGCATACCATTATCTTACGAATCTTAGCTGGGAATGGCAGTTCAGGTTTGTCAGGTTGGGCTGAGCCTCTACATCGTCCAAAGATAATCTCTACCGTGAGTATTTACACGAGCCTTGTATTGTTTGATAAGTTTAGCGTGACGCATGTCCTATTTGAAATGCTGAAACACGTAGGTGCGTAGGCAGCCCAGGCTCATCTACTACGTATAATGGCTATGCGGGTCGTAGGGGGGCTCCTCTCATTTGTTGGCATTTGTGGGAGCGAATTTTATATTCACATGTGTGTTGATGAAATCGTTTTAGATTAGAGCGACAGCGCTTTACCCCCGTTTGCTAAATACCGTGGTGACGTTGGGAATTGCTCGTTTCTGTTATTTTGCTTCAGAAACAGTTTACCGTCCTGGCATTGTTGCAGCCGGTGGTTCCTTCCATACGCGTCTTTTCCCAGCCGTCCTTTTGGTTGGCCCCTCGTTTTGAATAGGGCAGTTGTTGCTCCATTTCCGTCCCTGCTTCCTTCACCTGCTCGCTCTGCGTCTTCTCCTCTTCCTCCCTGCGCGCATCTCCCGCATCCTCTCTCCTCTCGTCTTGTCTCTGGTCTGTCATCCTCTCTCCTTGCTTTTTCCTATCTTCACCTTTCTTCGCCTCCCCTTCGTTGCACGCTCTGGTGCTGCCAGGCGTGCTGGAGGCGGTCCAGCGGAGACGCAGGTCGAACAGTTATCCTCGCCCCTCCTAGGTTTTAACAGGCGCACGGTCGTCGTCGTCGTCGTCGTCGTCGTCGTCGTCGTCGTCGTCGTCGTCGTCGTCGTCGTCGTCGTCGTCGTCGTCTCCCTGTCTCTTTTTTGGGGGGGTCCAGCGGAGTGCGGACCCACGCAAACCCAACGGGACGTCGCCTTCCCGTGGGTGCTGCCCCTGGGGCAGACTCGTCGCCCTTTGCTGCTGCCCCCGTGGGGTGCAGTGGAGTGCGGCCTGCGCTGTCCGCAAACCCGGCGGGGCCCTGCGGGGCGCCACCCTGTCGACCCTGTCCTGCCCACTCCCCCTCCCCCTCCCCCTCCCCCTCCTCCTCCTCCTCCTCCTCCTCCTCCTCCTCCTCCTCCTCCTCCTCCTCCTCCTCCTCCTCCTCCTCCTCCTCCTCTTTCTCTTTTTCCCCACATGCTTCGTGGGGTTCTGGTTTTCTTCCCTGCCGCGCCGCACCCGCGACACCCGCGACACTCACCTCACTCTCCCCCCTCCTCCTCCTCATAGCACTGCTCAGCACAGCTCAGCTCAGCTCAGCTCAGCTCAGCACGGCACAGCTGAGCACAGCACAGCTCAGCGCAACTCAGCACAGCACAGCACAGCACAGCACAGCAAAGCACAGCACAGCACAGCACGGCACAGCACAGCACAGCTCACCGCACAGCAGCACAGCACAGCACAGCACAACACAGCATAGCACAAAGGGCATTCCTTCGACGCCACAGGGGGTGCGTTTGGGGTGGGGGCCCTATGCGCTGCAGGCCCCCAGGGCGTGGCAGGCGTGGCATATCCTGGGCGCCACAGGGGGTGCGCTGGGGGTGGGGGCCCATCGCGGTCTCTATGACGCGCCAGTGTCGCAGGGCCTAGCAGGCGTGGTCTTTACTCGACGCTACAGGGGGTGCGCTTGGGGTGGGGGCCCACCGCGGTCTCTATACGCGCCAATGCCGCAGGGCCTCGCAGGAGTGGCATTTCCTCGACGCCACAGGGGGTGCGCTGGGGGTGGGGGCCCACCGCGGTCTCTATACGCGCCAATGTCGTAGGGCCTAGCAGGAGTGGCATTTCCTCGACGCCACAGGGGGTGCGCTGAGGGTGGGGGCCCACCGCGGTCTCTATACG